GTGACATAAAGTCTATAGATAAATTATACAGAAGTCTACTCTTCCTAGCTGCATATTAAACAACAGTAATTTTCTAAAGAAGATTAGGACATCTCTTTTAGACATATTTCCAACCACCCTCTGGAAGTGCAAACTTTTGGTATTCTACCTCTGTAGAGAGCACAAGAAACTCATCTCCCATGATCATCATCAATACCTACATAATCCTGGAATTTTAGAACTCACTTATGGCCATAGAATGCATTCAGATGATTTATTTGTTTATCTTTTAAAAAATACTTTTCTATGGTAGTATGGGCTTTTGAGGGACCAAATAGTCCAAGATTCACAGACACCAAGCCTCCCTTTGGACAATCAGATTGCAAATGCTGAGTCTGGAAATCTCTGGATTTATGTTCAAAGTTCACCATTTGGTGGGAGCTAGTGTTCTCTCAGAGCTGAATTTGGAGGCCAGACTGCTGTCACTCTTCCTGAAGTCATAAAGGGAAACTGTTTTGAAGGATTGGTCTTGTAGCATTATTGGTATCTATATACAGGTCTTAGAAATGTGAGGCTTTTCTGAAGACATTCTCTTAGATCTGTGCTTTCCTAGAGTAAAATCCATGCAAATGTGAAGAGCTGCACACCATTATTTGGGGATCTAATTGCAGCTTTAGTGATATTCATCCTGCTCAGGGTGTTTTTCATGAAGATTAAAACACTTGCATTGCCTGCTCCAGTGCCAAGATCCCATCTACTAGAATACTGAAGAACTAACCCATAACTCCTAACAAAACTGTTATTTGTCCTTTTAACAATGAGAAGTTCTCGTTTCTAAACCAATCTCACATTACCAGAATGCAAACACCTAATATTGGTCAAGTCAAAGAGGCCTAGGCTCCATTGTTACCACATTGAGACTGGATTAACATAATTGTGACTTCTGCTATGCAGGAGAAAGTTCTGTAACACACTGAGCACCTCTCACTTTATGGTCCAGTGTTTCCTATGCAGAAGTTACAGAAGAGCAAACCTGCAGAACATGAAGTGAAAGACCATTGTTTCCATGAAGCATCAGACAGATCTACACAAAGCACTTTGCACTTGTACAAAAGCAGAAAATGCAATCCCCTCCTGAGATATGACAGGCACAGGATGCAAGCACTTATTAAGAAGGCAGGATGTGCACAGGAGCCACAGAACACACGTAACAATGTCTGAAAACTAATCCTTCCCCACTGACACAGAGAAAGCACGTAGCACACACACACACCCTGCCTAGTACTTCCCCAAAGCACTAAACTTCTGACAGATTATGCAGCAGTGTTCACACACAGGATTTCCAGACATTCATAAACTGCAAAAGTAGCAACTGCACTGAAGAGAACTCACCCGTTAAAGCTGCAAAACATATAGAGACAGGTTTGTAATACCTGCAACATTAGAGCTACAAAGTCCTTGAAATCATCCTGGACAAAATCTGCAGACTAAGTGGGATAATATGTTCAGGAACACCTTTAAAGTTAGCTCTATGAAAAAGGGAGAAAGCTTAGAAGGTGCAGTCAGCTTTTGATTTTTCATGTGGGTCATTCGTGGATAAGGATGGATGAAGAAATAGCCAGGTTAAATCATAACTGATACAGCATGAAAAAAATCACCAGCCAGAATGCTGCCTGGATGACTTCAGCTCTGCAGCATGCATATCTCAGTATTACTTTCCATTCTGGGGCAGAGAGGGAAGTTGGAGCATGGCTAATTCACTGCCTGAATTCTTCAGCCAGTGATAATCTATAGCTGTCTGCATAAGTTTTGTCAGAAAGGATATGAGCAGATAGAAAGCATAAAATTACTGAAGCAGGATGGATAAATGAGTGAGCTTTCTGTAAAAAATATACCAATTCATATTCCCAATATAAATATATATTTTTGAATATTTGTGGAGTAAAAAGCTTTAAAAAACTTGCTTCTACAGACAAGTGGATGAAGACTGCATATTGATCATAATACAAGAAAAAAAAAATGCAATGACTTCATCAGACCATTGGGTGATTTTGTCTGGCTAAGGAACAGAGCTTTTTTTTTCTTTCCCTGCAGTTGTTTTCTATGCAGTCTTCAGCCACCCTGCAAAGGAATTAACATGACACCATGCTGTGAAACAAGGAAGTACTATGCATGCATTCCCTATTAGAGCATTCACAGAATTCCCAAGAAATGAACAACACATCTACCTACTTGAATTTCATGTAATTTGGGGAATTTCACTCTTCTCTATACCTCTCAAGACTGTTACAGAGGATTGCATCTTTATTTTTCAAGCCTTTAGCCTGCAACAAGATGTGCTGGCAAGGATTTTAGATGCACAGACTTCTCTGTTGCAGTACACAGATGTTAGGTTCCAAATGCAAATATCCCATTGCAAGTTTATATAGCTTAAACTGGAAAAAATACTTCAGGATCATTTTCCTCTCTTCCTTTTCCCTCAAGGTTATTGAAAATCACATTACATTATGTGCTTTAGCTTTTAAATGTTTATTGGAAAAAACAGATATGATTATGCACTTATGTTCAAAATTAGATTTTACAAGATTATTTTACTTAAACATTATTAATTTTTGAGAGACAACCACACTTTTGATAAATTGTTGGGTAGGAATGTAGATTATTTTAGGGCATAGGAATATCTGAATTTACAATAATATTTTAAAACATAATAACTCACTGTAATTAACTGTGAGGTCTTCAGGATATTTTAAGTGCTGCATGTATTTTGCAAAACCTCTTGTTTATAGGTTTACAATAATTTCATATGGAGAAAATGATAAAAAACTCCAGTTTAAATGGAAGCACAAAATTACTTTTTACATTTAATCAGGAAAAGCCTAAGCCTAATTCCTCCAAGGCAATATCACAACCTGCAGGTTGTGCAGGGTCTCAGGACAGCTTCTGTGTGTGTGTTACCAGGAGACCTGCATATCTTCCACAGCAAAAAGTTTCCTTGCTGCTGTCATAGTGCCAGCACTCTCTGAAACTGGGAGAGAACAAACTTGGGCACCTTCATTATTGATATAGAAGAGTTAAGTAACACATAGACCAGTCATACTGCCAAAGTCTTTCTGTAGTAGACAGTGGGGAAGGCTGCTCTAGAGGTAAATGTTTTTAGGCAGTTCCTTGAGCTGCACAATTGCCAAAACTGGCCTGTTCCCTACCAGAGTAGGAGGTTTGTAGCATGCCCTCACTGCATCAGTGAGAAGGGAAACCAAGCTCAGGATCAACTGCACCAGTGGGTTTTACATGATGCCAAAACACAAGATGTGGTGGGGGAGATGACTCAGAGCACTGAGATGTGGGTTATGTGCTGGTCATTGCTTGTTCTGAGGGCAATGCAGCAGGTACCTTGCTGCACCATGAAGTCCTCTACCTGCAGATCTGGGTAAGCCTCCCCCTTCTCCCAGTACCTCTTGCCTAACCTGGGCTTGCCCCTCCCCCACCACACACATACATGCTTATCAATACAACGGGACATTACACCCAAGCACAGAAAAGAAATTAAGGGTATTGAAAACAACAGCAGTGTTCTAAAGTTTTTACTCATTGGGGAGGGAAAAGGAGGCACACAGACTCAGTTCAACTAATCAGCTCATGTGAAGCAAAACTCTCTGAAATACAGGATAAATCAGGAACAAAATTGTTTTATTAAGTCACAATGTAAGCTACATTAAACCAAGAAAAAAATCCCAGACTCCAGCATATCTCTTGTTAAACCCAGAAAAGCAATGAAGAGACAGAATAAAAGCTTTTTTCTTATCCTACCTCAGTAAAACAAAAGAACACATCTCCTCTTTGCTCTGCTTGAAGTCAGACCACCCTGTGACAAGTTTGAGCCAGTGTTATATCTACCCCTTCAGTGGACCTTTGAAGATGTAGCAGTCTTTATTATTCCTGCAGTCTGTAAGGGCTATGCATAGTCAATCCACATAATGAATCCACAGCATGAAACACATTTAAGTGAAAAGAAATACTTTCGTAGTTCTCTCATACCAAAAGCAAAGAAAAACATCTATCTACCAGAAAGTGCATATTTGCTTTATTTTAAATCTCATGAAACAAACTAGAAAAGAAAAAAAAAAAAAAAAAAAAAAAAAAAAAAAAAAAAAAAAAAAAAAAAAAAAAAAAAAAAAAAAAAAACCAAAACAACCAAAACTAAGGGCACAGTTTACTATGGTCTAATAACAACCTTTACTATTTATAAAATCAGAGCTGTTAAAATAGCTTAGAGCCAGAACAGATTTTCAGACATTTAAAAGCACTTTTTTTCTACTGCAGAGATGTAAAAGTACTTCAAAAAGCTAAAAATTTGCAACTAGAGAGGGATGATGGTAATTAGGTTACCTAGTCTGTAACTTGTCCCAGCTAGTGTGGACTTGTAAAATGCAAAAGGTCCAACTTTAAAACACCTGATGACAGAGGCTTATACAGAAAACAGTGACAGAGCCCATCTGTCCCATGCCAACAACAGCACATACCGGCTCAAACCACATGTTCACACTTGAACACTGAGGGGCTTCAGAGTTTTCCAGGTGGCTGCTCAAGCAGGGGCTATCTGTGCCCTCAGTGCAAGGGTACAGACCTAGAGAAACGAGCCAGTCCCCTTTACCCAGTCTCTATTGCAGTTCCCCAGAAGCGTATCCCGTTGGTGCCACAGGCAATCGGGAGCAATGCTCAAGCCTCCCGTCTCAAGGACAAAGAGGCAGTACTCGGCTTGCAGTCAATACTTCAGAGCTCCGGGTCAGAGGAGGGAAAGAGCAAAATAAAGAGAAAACTTGTATTTGACTTAGCCGGTATCTGCTAGAAGATGCTGAAAATTATTAAGTGATTATTAACGAGATATTAAGTGAAGGTCACGAGGCTTATCTAAGACTATAGGGGGAGAAAAACAGATGGGGAAGGGGGAGGGAGAGGGAGAGAGAGCACGAGCACTGCAGCAAAGAAGCTACGCTCAGCCAATATATGCTGGCACTTACCATAAAAATAGAAAGATCGAAAGAGAAGTAGAATAAGGATCCTTTTTATCTCTCTTCAGTAGAAAGATTCCCACATGTAGCTCTGAACACAGCTGTCCAGGGAAAAAGCAAGGTAATATGACGATACACAGAAAACACTATCACACAAACGGTAAGTCCTTTCACAGCCTTCGTAAACCTGCAAGCAGTTTGTGCCGAAAAACCAAAGGTAAGAAGTCTGAAGACGACTCCTACATAACACTGCAGCTAAACCAGGCTGCTGGATTTCCAGTCACTCACACCGCGCTGTTTCCATCCTCATCTTCTCACCGTTACTTACATCCTAGAGGTGGGCTTGGGGGTGGGGATAAGAGATTTCTCCTCCGAGTGGAAAGGCTCACAGAAGCGGCATCAGCATTTGTAACCGGTCGCTGGGAGCACCCAATCGGAGGAGCTGCGGGGTGGCAGCGTGGCGGCTGCCCAAGGCAGGGCAGCCCGACGCGGCGGCCGCCGGCGCGGTCCCGCCCGCCCGGGAGCGCTGCGGGGCCCCGCAGCCCCGCGGGGATGTCCGCGCCCACGGGCGGACCGAGCGCCTTCAGCGCTGCGCTGCTCTCCGGGCTGCAGCGCCCGGAAAGGCGCAGCCTTCCCTGCCTGCTGCTCTGGCAGGCTGCTCGCACGCCTCTGCAGTCCTACAGAGGCAGGAAAAGTTTGGAGGTTTGAGCATCAGCGTCATTTACCTTGTAATTTTATTACCCGGTACCATGCCTATATAAAAAAACATATTAATCGTTGCTTCCTCCTCAAAGGTATATTTTTGAAGGAAAAATAAGTCTGTAAGAGATTGTGAATGGCCTGGTCCGAGCCAGTGCTGGTTTTAACATGACATCACAGACCCCATACAGCATCAAATCCACAGAAAATACACGAGCAAAGTTCTTCTCCCTGTGCCTGTCGAAATGAAAACTAGATTAAATGTTTTTCTACTTTCTACCATACTATTTGATGCAAAAAAAATTAAAAGAGAGAGAGAGAGAGAGAGAGGGAGAGAGAGAGGGAGAAGACTGACCTCTACTTAATTTTCAGTAATGATATCCAGGATCTGGGGAGAAATATTCCTATAGTATTTAAACCATTGAACCAAGACAACAGTAAAGTGATGCAGTCAGATGTAAAGCTGCTAAGCATTGTAATTTTCAAGGGATATTCCTGATTCTAATATACAAGTGACTGCATTTGACTATGGGGAAGAAATTATTTTGATCCAGCTCACAATGCAGTCCATAGTGGAGGAAACCTAAATACAGCATGGAAATTTGTGTTTACTTAAAGTTGACGCTCTGCCAGTAGAAAAAGTTAGATGCTTACCTTTTCAAAACATTTTTAGAACAGTCAGTCCTGAATTTTTGCTGTATCAAAAGTAATCATGAATATCATACATCTGATATTCACATTTCAAAAGATGAAAAGGCCATGTGGTAAGGGAGGGAGCATGGGGAAAACAGACATCAAAGCATTCACAGCAGTGGCACCCATATTACTTGATCAGTATCAGGTACTTGTAGATCACACCAGGTAACAACATAAGCCCATCAGGGAGAAAATAACAATATTAAAAAAAAAAGTAAATCACAGCTTCTACATCTTGAAGTAGACTAAAAATCTAAAGGTCAATTTAATACAGCTAATCTGTTCCAAAATATTTGAAAGTATAAATACAGTGCAAGAGCATACAAATTCCAGTAGCAATAACAGCAGAACACTAGGCTGTCATCCCATATTGGTCAGAAGATATTATCTTTGTGTATTTGTGTATGTTTTCTTTTCTTTCCTTTTTTTTTTTTTGGTTTTAGATTTTTTTTAATAAAAATCTTTTCCCCTCCAGTGACAGGACATTGGAAGGCCCATTACTTTCTTACATTTTATTTAGGTTTTAATTAGCTGATTTCATACTGTTGACATGACATGCATGATATTTATTCCTCCCTTTTCATAAACATAATTAGCCAAAAAACCATGAGATCTGCTCAAGAGGGAGTAAGTACAGGTGAAGGCAGATAAAAAGAGTAAATTACAAAGGAAGGCAATTACCATTTCCAACTAATGTACTAAGATATATACAGCTAATAACATATATATAGGTAACCAAAATTAAAAATATAGCCAATATAGGAGCGGACATGAGAAAAGAAGGAAGCAGCAGAAGAAACACATTTAAACTCTACAGTAAGCTTTCAAAACAGACTGCAATGCTAACACAAAGATTACTACTTGGCACCTGTGAGTGTTCCCAAGCCCAGATCCCGTGCCTGGTGTTGAGGAGGGTTATGAGAGCAACAACTTTCTGCTAACTTAATCTTGCCTGAAAGTAACTTAGGAAAATCAGCTCTTAGTACTGCTCAACTTGAACATCTTTTAACTTTCTGAATTTTCTATTTTTATTATGCATTAAATTGAAGTGCTTTCAGTTATCAGCTTTTTAACCTCTATATTGATTTATTAAGAATTGCCAAAAATCTCTGCTTAGTTGTCATATTGGTAAATGTAGATGTTTTCTGATCTTTTCCTCTGTCACGTGGCTCCTTTGCAATTTTTCAGGACCTTTTTTTTAGCTCAATTAGAAATTTAAACAATTATTTTAAAATACTATGAAAGAAGTTATCTTTCTACTTATTCTAAAATAATTGGTGGTTTCTAATTAGAAACTATTGAGTGAGCATTGGAATTAAGTGTTTCAGGTTATGATATCAGTTTTCCCTTTAAATACAGAACAGAAATATTTACTGAATATTTCTGCTTTTAAGATTGTCATCAGAACTCCATCAGAACTCTAACAGACCAACACATTTTGAGTTAAAGACCAACTCCTAATATACTGTTATTTCCTGTTATAAGAGAAACCTTATTTATTTTCTAGTGAATTAAACATGCAGTAATATTCATGGCTGTCAATACACCAATTTGTTTTTCTATTTTATCCTTTTTATCTTACAGTTATGAAATTAATATCATTTTATTGTTAAGACTTCATTATTTAAAATATCATTTCCTTGGAAAATATATCATTTTCTTAAATGACTTCCAGATAAATAAAAAAATCATAATTACAAAAACCTGACTTCATTTTTCAAATCTCTTAGCCATGAAACAGGAATTATCAATGTCAATTCAAGTAGAAATTTTATCACTCTTTTTCAAGAAAAGTGGGTGGTCCACAAGCTTTTGCTCATGTTGCTGCTGAATCATTTGCAATTGCATATGCGAGGTTCTGAACAACACATACATATGGAAAGGAAGCTAAAAAGTATGATGGACTTCAATAAAAATATAATAGTTCAGCAAAATCAAAATAACCAATAATAAAAAAAATCCATACAGCCATTTCTGAAGTACTAAAAATATCAAGATAGAGGAAAAGAGAATAAGTAATCATCTAGAGAGACGTCCATTTCAGCAGTGTAAGTTTAAAATCTAATGCAGGTGGGAATCAGTACAGAACTGACAAGACTGCGTGGAGAGAAACGGCTGCTGCTCACTGAGGCATCTTTCATTCTGGTAAGAGAGCTTCCAAGACCTTTGCTGCAACAAGTTTTTTACAAATGGAAAAAACCAAAACCCAAACAACAGACAAGCTTTACAGTGATAAAGTCAAACCCCCTGGCAGAAAAGCTGTTCATAAGAAATCTCCAAAACCTCTAAAAAACTCCCCAAACCAATGTCTCTTAGCCATCTTTTGGCTGAAAAATCAGTAATGGCCCTGTCTGCATTCCAAAGACTTTGTCTAAAAGGAATTTATCTAGGAAATAGTAGCAAGATGCTATTTAGGGATTGTTTCACTTATGGAGAATTTTCCTGAATGTCTTATATAAGAGAAATAGCTTCATTGTGGTTATCCATGTACCCACATGTGACTTATGTACCCACATGTGACTTATGTACCCACATTTGTCAAACAAAAAAACCCTAAAAACCAAAAAGATCCACATCAAAACACCTCAATATTCTACAATTTAAGAACAAAGAGACAATGAAAATATTCTCTCCACCTTTTCTCCTCCTTCATAAAGGGACAGAAAAATCAATGCCATACAGAGGTAGCTGAGTGACACAAATCATACCAAGAGCACCATTACTAGTACCAATATCTACAATATCATTTGTCTTCAACTCAGGACCTCAGAATAAGACTTTCCATAAATTAAGAAAATTATAGACAGGTAGTATTTCTTAAAGCATAAAGAACAGTTTTTGTTAAAGCAACTTCAAGGGGGCTCTAAGAAATCAATTGCTGTTTGCAGCCCAAGCCTGTAGGTATAAGTTGTAAGCACACATAGACCAACAAATGGAAGTTTTTATTTTAAATTGTTCTTCAAAAAAGGAAAAAAATACTATTCAATTATTAAATTCATAACTCCATATTAACTATATTTTGTACCATGCACCCTAACAAGAAACAAGTGTCATAACATATGAAGCAGTTAAAGCACTCTTAAAAGATTGTAATTTAATGCTACAAAATATTACTTTTATTTCTAGCTATTCCCTTAAGTAAATATATTAAACTAATAACAGCTAAACAAATTTTATGATAGCCCAAAGAATACTACCTTTGTGAAAGTTTTTAAGCACTGAACTACCAGCAGTAGTAGTGATAAAAGTTGGTGAAGATTCAGAAATAACAACAAGCCTTTAACAAAGCAGATAAAAAAGTTGGTGGAGATACAGAGATAACAGCAAGCCTTTAACAAAGCAAGTAAGAAAAGTTATATATATATATATGTATGTATGTATGTATATTCTTCACATACAGATCACGCAGATCCCTTTCAGACCGTAGACTAGAGAGGGGTTGGTAGGAGTTTTCTAGCCTGCAAGGAGACAGGCAGGTTACATCAGGTCACACAGGATGGAGGGGCTGCAATACTGAGGTCCTGAGAGGAATAAGGGGAAAGATGACATCTGGAAAGCAGGGGGCCACCTTGCAGGAACAGACAGCCCCCAGACCCCTGTAAGGACTTTCCACCCACTCTTAAAGCAGGTGTCCTAGAGCTGTGTCAGACCTTTAGTCAAATTGCAGGTAACTATATACTAGTCCTTCAACTTCTTGGAAGTAAAACATGACCTGAAGTTAATGCTGAAGCAGAGAGGGAGGACCCAGCACAGGTGAATGATTAGAGCAGCCCCAGCAGAGCATCCCTGGTAATTTGTGCCCTGTACCCAGGTGTACTGCTGGTTCAGTGACACGGTTTCATAGCTGCATCCAGACGTACTTCTAATACAACTTGTAAACTAGGTGGTGAGAGTATTTACAAACAAAGCATTAAGAATGTAGCACAGGGATATGGGGGAGAGCATTAGATGTCATGAATAGGCCACTGAGATTTGAAAGGCCTTTAGGGTCAGACACCCCAAAGTGACACATGCATGTGACAA